TTATTATATCGTACATACAAACATACATACACACATACATCAAAACGTATAAAAACGTACATTTAATTGGGCATAACATAGTTCGGTCCGCCTCAACTTCAGCCAAAAATCTTCATTGATTAAAGTTCAGGAAATATTCAATAATGAAAACTACATACATACATGTACGTATGTACAGCCAAAGACAAACAGTTAACTCGTTTATTATTTTCAAATTTTTTTTTCACTTTTTCTTTCATTTTGTCATTAACCGTATTGTTTCTCACTGACACCAATAAAAGCATAACTTTGGACCAAATTAATACACCGGCTACTTTATTAAATGTAAATATATATATGTGTGTATGTGTGTATGTATAAACATTTACTATTGCTGATTATCGCGCTTAAGCCATTATTTTCTTCCATTTCATACCATGCCATCACGATCACTATCATCATTTCATGCTTTGTCTAATAGCAGCGAAACAGACCTAAAGACCCAAAGCATTGATTTGTACTCGAGGGTATTTTAATCGTAAACCTTCATTGTGCTGTTGTTGGTTACATTGACATTGACTTTGACCGAAAATCTTGTAGCCGAAAAATCATGAAAACACAACAACACAAATAACAGAAACAAATTTGCAACGAATCAGCCGTGACAAAGGTTTTGGCTACAACAAGAAATAATATATGTATGTATGTATATATGCATGCATGTATATGTAAATGCGACAATGATTAATAATTTATTAAAATCTACTTACTTACTTACTTACCAGTCCACACACATCTTTAACTGCTGCATGAATATGTATGAGTGTATAAAAAAAAAACAAAAACTATATTAATTTGTATGCAAGTTGGCTACTAATATATACATATATACACAAACAAGATAGGTGAAGCCGGCAAAACGTGCACAATGCAAGTTCTTCATCATTTTTTTTCTTAAATTTTATAAATATATTTGTTGCTTTTCGTGTTACTAAAATGGCAACGCATGTTACTGTGTAGACAGATAGACAGCTTGTGTGGATCTAGCAATGGTTGGTTGGTGGTTTACTGGCGCGCTAGTTGGCTTTTCAGCGTGCAGCGCAGAAGCTGCTGTTCATACAATGTCCGAAATCACAGAGCACTGCTTTATATTTTATTATATTTCATCATATTTTTTTGCTTTATTTTATTTTGTTTTATTTTATTTTATTTTATTTTATTTTATTTTATTTTATTTTATTTTATTTTATTTTATTTTATTTTATTTTATTTTATTTTATTTTATTTTATTTTATTTTATTTTATTTTATTTTATTTTATTTTATTTTATTTTATTTTATTTTATTTTATTTTATTTTATTTTATTTTATTTTATTTTATTTTATTTTATTTTATTTTATTTTATTTTATTTTATTTTATTTTATTTTATTTTATTTTATTTTATTTTATTTTATTTTATTTTATTTTATTTTATTTTATTTTATTTTATTTTATTTTATTTTATTTTATTTTATTTTATTTTATTTTATTTTATTTTATTTTATTTTATTTTATTTTATTTTATTTTATTTTATTTTATTTTATTTTATTTTATTTTATTTTATTTTATTTTATTTTATTTTATTTTATTTTATTTTATTTTATTTTATTTTATTTTATTTTATTTTATTTTATTTTATTTTATTTTATTTTATTTTATTTTATTTTATTTTATTTTATTTTATTTTATTTTATTTTATTTTATTTTATTTTATTTTATTTTATTTTATTTTATTTTATTTTATTTTATTTTATTTTATTTTATTTTATTTTATTTTATTTTATTTTATTTTATTTTATTTTATTTTATTTTATTTTATTTTATTTTATTTTATTTTATTTTATTTTATTTTATTTTATTTTATTTTATTTTATTTTATTTTATTTTATTTTATTTTATTTTATTTTATTTTATTTTATTTTATTTTATTTTATTTTATTTTATTTTATTTTATTTTATTTTATTTTATTTTATTTTATTTTATTTTATTTTATTTTATTTTATTTTATTTTATTTTATTTTATTTTATTTTATTTTATTTTATTTTATTTTATTTTATTTTATTTTATTTTATTTTATTTTATTTTATTTTATTTTATTTTATTTTATTTTATTTTATTTTATTTTATTTTATTTTATTTTATTTTATTTTATTTTATTTTATTTTATTTTATTTTATTTTATTTTATTTTATTTTATTTTATTTTATTTTATTTTATTTTATTTTATTTTATTTTATTTTATTTTATTTTATTTTATTTTATTTTATTTTATTTTATTTTATTTTATTTTATTTTATTTTATTTTATTTTATTTTATTTTATTTTATTTTATTTTATTTTATTTTATTTTATTTTATTTTATTTTATTTTATTTTATTTTATTTTATTTTATTTTATTTTATTTTATTTTATTTTATTTTATTTTATTTTATTTTATTTTATTTTATTTTATTTTATTTTATTTTATTTTATTTTATTTTATTTTATTTTATTTTATTTTATTTTATTTTATTTTATTTTATTTTATTTTATTTTATTTTATTTTATTTTATTTTATTTTATTTTATTTTATTTTATTTTATTTTATTTTATTTTATTTTATTTTATTTTATTTTATTTTATTTTATTTTATTTTATTTTATTTTATTTTATTTTATTTTATTTTATTTTATTTTATTTTATTTTATTTTATTTTATTTTATTTTATTTTATTTTATTTTATTTTGTTTTGTTTTTACTTTTTTAACAATAATAACAACAACAAAAATAACAACATAGAAAGCACCACTAAAGATATTATCAATAAAGAAAAATTTTACGAACACTAAAACCAAAACAAAAACTGCAACTTGTTGTAAAATTATGTAAATTTTCAATTTTACAAGCGTACTTGAATACACATAAGTATATAAATGCATGTGAATGTATGCTAGAGGTATTTTGAATTGGTTAAAAAAATGCCGGTTGCCTTTTTGGGGAAACCGCTTAGAGAAGCATGTGTCACCGTATCTGTGGAAAAAATTGTTCGTTGAAGTTACCGCAGAAAAGTGTTATATTCTTTTCTTCCTTTTATCTGCTTCCTCATTTTGGTAAAGCAACAAATTAACTTGTAAGAGAATTAAATGTGCCATGCCGGAAATACTTTCCGAGGTATTGACATTCCCTGCCAAGGGGCGACCACAACAAAAAAATTCATTTTCTATTACTTTGGCTGTTGGTCGAGTTTTGCTACCTACTAGTCCCTTGCGGCCGCCAATATATCATAGTCATATTAATTACACTGTTAAGGAACGTAAGTTATGACATTTAAAGCGCTATTAATCGGCGATATCATTAGAAAAAACGCAATTGGCACTTTTGGAACCAGTTCGGCGCTATTTTCCGATACAAACATTATATCCACAACAAAGTTTCTTACTAAAATTTATTTATTTATATAAAAAAATTAGTTAAAAATAGCTCAGACGAAAGCAACTAGTTTCAAAATGCTACTTTTTCAATCTACGATGTTGCATAATACCCAAATTGCAATTGACTCCATTTTGTTTTGGTTAAAAACTGGTTTAATTCAAACAGACAGATTATTATAATGTTTTAGTATTAAATTAAGAATTTTTAGAAACACAACTGAAAAAAGACACTTTCACCTTGGTCAATCGTTTATCTACAACAGGCAAGACTCTGCAAAAAATTATCAAAAATTAGAAAGTTTATTAATAGATAGGCGTAGATTTTAGATGAAGAAAAATTACAATAATTATTTTGCTATAATTAACTAAAAGTTATTAAAACCATTAGAAAAAATCTAAAACAGCGTTAAATCATCCCTTCTCTCAAAAAAAAATTTTCTTATATATTTAAAGCTACAAAAATTAAAATAAAAAAATCGTCAAAAACGACCATAAATTAAGGCGTTACTAGGTCAAAACCGCAACGGTTGAATAACAGTAGAAAACTACGAGAATCGTTTTGGAAGTCATCAAGCCGAAAACTTTATCAAACGCATATCTACATGCATACATATGTCAACAGTAAAAATTATTCTCGTAATAATTATAAGTCAAAGGTTTGGATCAAAATACGACATTGACCGTCTTCGGCGAATATTTACCTTCATAAATGCAAAAATATTTATTGTATATTTTCAAACATAATTTCTATAAAATCCATCGAAGCAAATAAGAAAAACAAAACGCTAAAAAGAAACAATCAACAGATTGACAGACGCAGACGCGATGATATCACAAGGGGCAGTGTGTTCTTCAACTAGTTACGAATGCCTTGTTTTATTGCTATCGAAGTTTTTGTGTTTTTTTTACTCGTTTTTTTTATTTTTGTAGTTTTAACTGCTTCTTGTCATCAATTTTCACTTCCTCAATTTTTAGTTCCGATTTGATAAACAAATTAACTGTAGGAATGTTTAAAGTTTTTATTTCATTTTATTTTATATTTGAAGTTTACTTTTTATGTTATTTCATTTTATGTTATTCTATATTACGTTGTGCTTTGTAATTTTATTTTAATTTTTTTATTTTATTTGAATGTATTTTATGTTATTTAATTCTTTTTATTTTATTTCATTTTATTTTATTTTATTTTATTTTAGTTTATTTTATTTTTTTGTCTTATTTGATTTTATTTATTTTATTCTACATTACTTTATTTTTTTTATTTAATTATATTTTATTTCATTTAATTCTATTTTCTTTCACTTTATTTTGTTCAATTTAATTTTATTTTACATTTTGTTTTATTAAATTTTTTTATAATTCTAGCTTTAAGTAATTTTTATTTAATCTCTTGATTAAAAAGGAGAGAAAATAAAAAAAATAGAATTTTTTTTAAATCAAAAGTGAGCAATTTTTTTAATCAATCATAATCTATGTTTTGTTTTGCATAAAAACATGCTTATGTATATACACCTAATTAATATACATATATATATTATATTCGCTCTTGTCAATTATATAAATGTATATTATCTTATACAGCGCATATGTAAGTATGTTTGTGTAGAAAAATTTTATTGAATATCCTCTTTGTCAATGCTAATTAGATGCAAAGAACTTGAATATTCCATTGCATAACGAACGATGATAGTATTTTGAATATGGCAATTACCCCATAGTAACATTATTTGGTCGCGAGCTTAACTCAAAGTTGTAGAATGATTTAGACGAATTAAAACGGTGTTTTCATCATTACCGCTTTTGAACATAACCTTACTTTGCGTAACCTTCAAAATGAGTTTTAAACAGCACGAAATCACTTAACTCGATTATACAGGAAATTAGATTGTATATAAAACGTGCAAACTCTTACGAAAAATGGCTCAGAACCCATTATCCCACTTTAAATCTCTATTTGCAGTAAAGTCGTGCTCTTTTGTAGTTCTTCTTGTTGATATTGTTGTTGTTTTAGCGAATGCTTGCCTTTACAGTGGTCGCCAACGTCTGTAATATGTGAACGTAATCTCGTCCCAATGTATTTCGCTGTGACTGTATCTTGTTAATTCTGCAAAAGTTGACAACCTATGGGTTTTCTCCAAAACAGCTGATTATTGTTTATTGTTTCTGCTAAACAAAACAAGCTGCATTTGAATAAACGAATTTTGCTATCTAATATTAAAATTTATTTAAAAAAATTTAACTTCAAAATGAGCAAGAAAAGCCAATCTAAAGAAAAAACTCATGAATTAGAAACACAAAATAAGATTGCTACAAAATGTTCTAAGAGGCAACGCCGGAAGGCTCCTGAAACATGGAAGCAAAATGTACGCAAAACTCTGCGCCAGTCAGGGCGAGAGTATGTTTCTGTAAATGGAAAAATAGTGAAAGAACGGGAAATGCAACCTGCTTGCGGAAGTACTTGTCATCTTAGCTGCAGTACAAAGATAGAACCAAATCAAAGGCAGCTAATACACAATACATTTTGGAAGTTAAACGATGAACAAAAAATGTATTTTTACTGGAAATATACAACGCGTATAGCTCCAAAGCGACGCCGTAAAACTACCATTAACGAAACACGCCGTGGTTTTTCTATGAAATATAGATTTGAAATAAATGGTGATATGCAATATGTATGCAGCAAATTCTTTTTTGCTACTTTAGATATATCACCACGCCGTATATACTATTTCTACGAGCATTGCTATGATAAGGAGATATGTATGCCTCGTACAAATGCTTTGCTTGGCAAAGGTATGAGTCGAAAGACGGTATTAAGGCAACGCTTAGAAGAAATACGAAATCATATCAAAACATATCTCAATGAAAGTAAAGGCATCTCAAATAATAAACTTTTTTTGCCCACGGGTGTCAGCCTTGAAAGTATGTACAAGTCGTATGCTGAGCGTGTTGCTCAACCACTTAAAAAATTATGGTATAAAAAAATTTTTCACAAAGAATTTAATTTAGAATTTCAAACGCATCCTGAAGTTCGTAATGAAACGCAGCGTACCATTTACGCTGAAGAACAAAATTTTTCCTTTAATGAAATAAGCCATGTATTAGAAGAACCAGTCTTAACATCCCACAGTAGCCCGAGCACAATGTAATTACAAAATTTATGTATTGTATTTACAATATGCACTTTGTCATTTTATTAAAATGGATAAATTCTTTACAATCAAAGGCAGAATACTGTTGTAATTTATGCATGAGCGTTAATCAACGTTGATTTTTTCGAGCAGTTGCAAGATTTTGTTTAACTTTTCATTTTGTTGTGCCAGCGCAGCATCCAAATGCTTGGTTATCTTACGTTCTAGTTGTTCAAATCTATTATCTATATGAGTCGTAATTGCTATGTTGAGTTCAGCTTGAGAGCCCTTCGCGAAATCAGTATTTTCGATCGGAGCATTCTTGCTAGTGGTAGGATCATTTTTACCAGCCATTGCTTGATGTAATTGCTCTAAAAGTGCCGAAGCGCAGTGGTGACTTACAGGGGCTCTTTTCATCTGATTCGCTGCTTGCATGAATAACATGCATTTTTCAGCGTGTGGTGATATTTTCTGCCCTGTGTTACTTAACATATTTTGAACATTTTGCATGTTAATTTCTACCCCGGTTGTTATGCCATTCGGATTTGGCGCCGTTTGTACACAGATGCCAAATATACAGATTTCGTCAGATGAAGCAAGTAGCTACATATATATAAAAAAATATAACAAATGCATTTAAAGGATAGTTTTGAGAAATGGTTGCTTACCTTAAGTGCTGCTTCAGTTATGCCCGACTTTTCCACTACGATATCGAACCGATATGAGAACACTTTGTCATTATCATCATCCTCTGCTACTTCACCATACAACGTTTCTGTATATTCTTTTAGTGGTCCCGTAAATAGTTCCAATTTGGGAGCTGTACACACCATCGATATAGAGTCAATTTTATAAATGGGCGTCTTTAAACATATTTGAACTTCACAAGGCTCGTCTGATCCTTCTTTTGCAAAAAGAACTGCATTCTCTTCTGCTATAATATCGTCCAAAGAAGGTCTGAAACATATCATGGAGTAAATACCGTAAATATCGCTTAAAACAACTTTATACCTCACAAAGATGTCCTCGCATGTCGTTCTGGTTTGTACAACGTCTGAGAGCTCACAACCACCAACTCTCCTCCAGTTGCATTCCAGCTGGACTTTTAATGTTGATGCCATTTTTAAGTCCTTTGTTCAGAAATCAAATCACGATCTCTTTTTGTTGTGTATACAAAAGGTAGAAATAAATTCAAAGAGCATGGTTGCCAATCGAATGGAACTTAAGCGACACACACAATTCCGAATTTCCCTCTGATCTGGTAGTTGGAAAGGCATATACAAAATTTCTTAACCAAGGATTTTATTGCTTTTGTCCAAGTCTTCTTGCTTTTTGTCGAAATATTGTATTATTATTAAACAGAAAAGAAAAAGTTATTTTAAATCTTTCACTGTGCTCGAATCTATATTTCATACTCATTAATTGAGTTTTCCAAAGTTCATTTAAAAAATACGTACAAACATCTTGCAACCACAATTTTGGTTGCTAGAAATCAAAATCAGCTGTCTCGGAGAATTTTACTTTTCGCTGAATTTTGCAATATGGCATTTCGATCCACTTCCCTCTTTAATAAATTCGGTGTAATTTTTACTCGACAATATAGCGTAGCCGTGGGATTCTCTTACGCCTTCAAGCCATGGAGTCGAACTTATCCTCTAAAAATACCAACAAATGTGCGACAATCACATGAACAGAGCAAAAAAGCTGGAAAATATAAACTTGTAATGATTCGTCATGGTGAATCAGAATGGAACAAGAGCAATCAATTTTGTGGTTGGTATGATGCTGGGCTTAGTGAAAAAGGTATGAAAGAGGCACAATCAGCTTCAAAAGCTTTAAAGCAAGCTGGTTTTAAATTTGACGTCGCTCACACCTCCGTCCTCAGTCGTGCCATAAATACATTGGATATAATACTGAAAGAAATTGGACAAACGGATATTCCCATTTGCAAAACATGGCGTTTAAATGAACGTCATTACGGCGGCCTTACCGGTTTGAATAAGGCAGAAACAGCAGCTAAGTATGGCGAAAAGCAAGTAAAAATATGGCGAAGGAGTTTTGCAACCCCACCACCACCCATGGAAAAAGATCATCCATATTACGATGCAATCGTTAATGATGAACGTTATGTAAATGGTCCCACAAAGAAGGAATTTCCAATGTTTGAATCACTCAAACTAACAATAGATCGTACATTGCCCTACTGGAACGATACCATCGTACCACAAATTACAGAAGGAAAACTAATTCTAATTTCTGCACATGGGAATAGTCTGCGCGGTATTGTAAAACATTTGGATAGTAAGAAATATAATTCGTCTTCATTGCGTAATGAAAATATAAACTGTATAAATGCTTTCAGATTTATCCGAAGATCAAATTATGGCGCTAAATTTACCAACTGGAATACCATTTATTTATGAACTAGATGAATGTCTCAAGCCTGTGGTATCTATGAAATTTTTAGGGGATGAAGATACGGTGCGAAAAGCAATGGATGCAGTTGCTGCACAAGGAAAGGCTAAATAAGCCAATCCAAAGGATGATAAACTCAAGCAGGACAGCAAACCATTTAAATTTTAGAAAATATTGAACTAATGCAAATACTGAACATACTAAACAAAATAAAAAAATAGAATGAATAATTCACATGGTATTTTTTTATATGGCCACATATATGTACATATGTATGTAGGAATCTATATGTTTTTGTCAGTTATATATTACCAGCAACAGTGCAAATCATTACAAATTATTTTGAGGCGTCCTTCTTAGTTTTATTACTTTATTATAAAGGCTTTTCACCGCTTTTATTTTGAGAACTTATTTTTAATTATTATTATTAACTATACCATAGAAAATTTTTTTTAAATGTTTGTTTAAAAAACTTGCAAATATTGGCAATTGCGAAAGCAACTCTTCAAAATCTCATGGCTGAATTTGCTGAATATTAGCTTATTTTCTGTCATTTTTTCAAATGACCTTGTATCTGTCATTTATAGGTCAAATAAAAATTTTCCTATCAGCTAGCCTGATTAGTCGGTGTTACCACATAAAGTTTCTCTATTCTCCGTTTGAACTTGATTATTAATTAGAAATGTCGGGAAAATATAGAATTGTTATGGTTCGCCATGGTGAATCTGAATGGAACCAAAAAAATCAGTTCTGCGGTTGGTTTGATTCAGCTTTAAGCGAGAAGGGTATCGCTGAAGCACAAGCGGCCGGAAAAGCAATAAAAGATGCTGGTTTGAAATTCGATGTTGCTCATACATCAGTGTTGACCCGCGCTAATATCACTTTGGATACAATTCTCAAGGAAAGTGGTCAACCAGATGTTCCAGTAAACAAGTCATGGCGTTTAAATGAACGTCACTATGGTGGTTTGACTGGCTTGAACAAGGCGGAAACCGCTGCCAAATACGGAGAAGAACAAGTAAAAATCTGGCGTCGTAGCTTTAACACTCCACCACCACCAATGGAACCCGGTCATCCGTATTACGATGTCATCGTCAAAGATCCTCGCTATGCCAATGGACCATCGCAAGAAGAATTCCCTCAATTTGAATCACTCGAATTGACTATTAAGCGCACTCTACCTTATTGGAATGATGTTATCATTCCACAACTAAAGGAGGGCAAACAAATTATCATTGCTGCTCACGGCAACAGTCTTCGTGGTATTGTTAAGCATTTGGATAGTGAGTAATTTCAATAACAGAAAAATAATACCAATATTAACGCGCATGTATTTTCTTACAGATCTTTCTGAAGATGAGATTATGGCTTTGAATTTGCCAACTGGCATTCCATTCGTTTACGAATTGGACGAAAACTTCAAACCAGTTGTGTCTATGAAATTCCTTGGTGATGAGGAAACAGTTCGAAAGGCCATTGAAGCAGTTGCTGCTCAAGGCAAGGCCAAGTAAGAGATTCTAAACTCCATAACATATTCATAGGCAACAAGACATTTAACCGACGAATAACATAAAACATATTATTCACAATTGCACAAGGTAATGCAACAGCAAAATACGGCTGTAGAAAATCGTAGTTATTCGCAAAAGTACGAATATTGTTGTGTAAAATTGCTGTTTAATTATTAAATTTAATAAATTATTGTTAAAAATATGTTATCGTGTATACGTATTCAAGAAGAAGAATGTGATTTTTTTATTTTTTTGCAATTTGTTTATTTTTCGTTGTGATCCAACTTTGTTAGGAAGTTTTTTTTTTTGACAAATTCTTATTAATTTTATTTCTTTTTATGTTTTTTACCATCCTTCGCAAGTTCTAACCCTAAAATACATTTTGGTGGTACTTTGTAAGTTTCCGTCAGTAAGTTGTAAACAAAACGAACTTGGTTTCCTTGAATCTGTAGCTGCTCTGCTTTTTGATGGGGGAGCTTTACGACTGTGGTGCTGGCTGCAGCACCTTGTTTGCACAATTTTATAAATTCTGGCACGATAATGCCATAGCACTCGATATTGCTGATGAGCGTCACTTTTTTATTCCCCGATCGTGTGGCAAGCGACATTTGTATAAGAGGTTTGTTGGACGCTACACCTTTGAGTTCACACATTTGGTAACTATATTCCATTTTGCTGGTTATAGTCGAACAAATTTGGCTAACGGAAGCTATCTTGAGGTTACATAGTTTTTCCAGCGTTTCGTCTAACTGTATGGTAGAGCCTGTAGCATCAGCTTTGGGTAGATTCTGTTTGCTTATGTATTCACGTACAATTTTTTTTATTTGTGCTGTTGGTATACCTTCACCGCGTTTATAATTCATTTTGGCAAAGAAAGGAGCTGTTTCATCAGTTACAATATAAGTCTCTGTCAACTCGGACCGAAACAGTGGTTGATCTTGTGCTTCACCTTCTATTGACTGTTTTGGGGGCTTGAAATCTGTTATGAAGTTGATGATTTCGGGATGCTCCAAATCTATAGAAGTTATCTTATCAACACCCTTTGATTCCTCGCGCACCACTATGAATCCCTGATCAATCATTTCATTGAGGAAATTCGAAAGTTTCTTATACTTCGTTTTCTTTAAATCGATAGGTTGCGGTGCTTCAGGCACAACATATAGTCGATAAAAGTTACTGGTCAATAGCGGCAAGTGCAAGTTTTTACCATTATTTTTTAGCGCCGCCAAGAAAGCATTTTTAAGTTGAGAGTCTGGTGTAATTTCTGCTTCTTCGGATTCGTCATTACAATTACTTTCGCTGTTTCCCTCTAAAGAATTTTTATTGTCTCCTTCATGGCTCACACTTTCGGATATTTCCAATTTCTCCACATTTGGTATTGTTGAATCTACGACGGTTGTATCTGGCGAACTTGTCGCAGCAACGATATCGGCCAAAGTCAACTTTGCATTTACTTCTTTTTTCTGACTATCAATCTTAGCTCCAAGCTCTGGGAAATCATCTTTTGTCAATGGCGTAGTTTTTTTCAAAGGTACTTGTTGTACCAGCGTTGGTTCGTGCCCCCACAACTTATCGCCGAATATATGCAACATTTTCACAGCAACACCTTGACGACCACACATATACAAATCATCCGATGATCGTGGTAGATAACCTATTGCTACTGCTGAGTGATTTGAAACCAAATTCACAGCCATTAACTGGCCTTGACGATGCCGACCATACATATTCATACCTGTGCCCACCGGTACAACACCAGGCAACATAAGATCAGCGCCATTGGAAAGTTTAGGCAATACCTCACGAAACGTAGTATAATATGGCAGTAAGTTTGGCACTAGCCATAATGCATATAAAGTTGGTGCCAAATCACCAGATTCCAGTTCGAAGAACATGGGCAATTTGTCCACGCAGAAAACGTTTGTTTGTGTACCGCCATGTGTTGTCAATTTAAGCTGAGTTACAGCGCCCTTTGAAGGTATAAGTAAATTGAGTTGCTCAGATGTTGTATCAGGAAATGACTTTTCCAAACGCTGTCGTAACTTTTTCGATTCTGAGCCTTTTAATGGAGCATTACTCCGCAATTTGTATGGTTTAAGAAACATCTCCGAGAAACAGCAAACAATTTGACGTGTTGTGATTGGAGTTCGTGCTATCGATATCACACGTTATAGTTTATATCGATTTAATACTGATTGCAATTTTTAAAAGAGAATACCTTTTACTCTTTTAAATAACAGCTAAATGAAACTTGCATTCGATTTCAATTAACACGAATCATGTATTTATGTTGTTATTCGTCTGCGTTTTTTAGCTGACGAAATTGATTTTGTAATATTGTGAAATATTGAAGTCCATAAAGTATCTCGTATATTTGACATCTCTAAGGCCCTGTTTCAAAGGGTTATGGAATGACAGCTATTAAATATTAGCTTTTATATGTCATAAATTTCATTTACTCAATATCTATTATTCAATATGTAACATCTGAGAAGCTGAGAAGCAATCCATAGCGGTCGCTCTGTTGTTCTGTTATGGCTCGAAATTTTACGCTGTAAGATAAGCTTCTTAACGACTGAAAGTCGACATCGACTTGGACCTCGCAGCATCAATAATAGGCACTCGCTCCTGTTCAACAAAGAATGCTCGTCAACAAACACAAGCACGGTTCGAAGTCGAAAAGCTGCAATCACAACAGATATCCAACCGGTTTCCTACTCGACTTTCAATCCTGCTCTCTGAGAACACTTAACAGCAATTTGGCATAAAAGAACTGTGGGACGGAATTTCAAGTTCTCTACGAACAACTGCAAATGAAACAATTGGTTTTCGAAAAGGTCGCAAAAACAACTGGTATGATCAGTTCTGCCGTGTCTTAGTGGAGAGAAACTGTCCGCCTACCTCGCAACATTGCGATCGACAACAACAAGTGCGTTGTGGGATAGTTACCGATAGCTGAAGAGGGAAACAAGACACATTTATAGACAAAAAAAAGTGGCCGAGAAGCGTTATGGCCAACATGAGTATTGCTCAGACCGACGCAGACTCTTATAAGACAGGTGATCTAGTGACGGATGCTCAGATTATACTGAATTTATGGAAGGAACATTTCTCCAGCCTTCTGTATGGCAGTGAAATGGGAGATGGTTCACCCGAATATCCAATTGATGGCGTTGGAAAAGTTGTTCCATTACCCGACTATAACGACACTCGAATAACGATCGCTCGCTTAAAGAACAATAAAGCTGTTAGAGCCGAAGGCTTGTCGGCTGAGCTCTTTAAATATAGCGGAGAAAAGGATCATGTGCATGTATCAGCTTCCTTGCGAAAAATGGTCGGATGTGATGAGCTTCCTTAATATCGTATAAAAGGTCCTATTGAGCATATTGTATGAAAAGCGAAATCCCACCGTCAACAAACTGATTGGATGTTATCATTGTGGCTTTACACCTGGTAAATCAACCATTGATCAGATATTCACCAAGCACCATGGAAAAGGCCCGAGAAAAGAGGACCGAAATACACCATTACTTTGTCGATTTTAAAACAGCCTTCGACATCATAGTAAGGAGCTGCCTTAGAAATTCGAAGGACTTCAATTTAATGTTGGAGAAAATGGTAAGAGCTGCAGAGCTGAATATAGAAGGTGCAAGAGTGTTTTTTGAAATCGTTGTATATTCTAGATAATTTCGTATATCTCGAAACCATTATTAACATCAACAACAGTGACAGTCTTAAATGACCCCTGCGGGTTAGGGGCTCAAGAATTTACCCGCGGTAAGGCATGGCTGGCGTAAGAGGCGACTAATCCAATAGTTCCCGCGACAGTCGGGTCTTTATAACGGAACAACCCGTACAAGTCGCTCATCGTTCTTTTCCTGCTATATGGTTCGGAGGCACGGACGATTGCGACATCTGATGCGTCTTCATTGGGTGTTGTGGAGTTGAGCGAATATCGCTGCCGACGGAATGATGAGCTCTGGGAGGTATTCGGCGAGATTGACATAGTTCAGCGAATAATGAAACAGCGGCCACGCTGGCTAAATCATAACCCCCGAATGGCTAAGAATGCACAAGCTTTGAAAGTTTTCGATGCAGTTCCCGCCGGTGGAAGCAGAAGAAGTGAAGGAAGGTTATTAACTCGGCTATAATCGCGTAATTGGTGGCTGCGCTAGTAAAAAAGAAGTAGATGAAGATAAACTCCAAGAGAATTTGAGGTAAATCTGGCCAGTTGAAGTGATCTTCAAATCGCAATGGAGGGTTAACTTAACCCACTCTTCCAAAAGTGAATGAACGAAGACAATGTAAACTTTTTCATTTTTATTAAGTACACACTTTACACATTCACAATATAATTTAAATAAAAATACATACATCTTAATAATAATATTATATATTGTTTGCTTAAAATATTTTTAAAGGCTATTTATATAATATAAAATATATGTATATGTATATGCATGTATATTTGTGTATGTACGAGTATGTATGTATTTTTGTTAAGAAACTAAAGTAATTATGACGTAATTAATTTCGTATTAAATATTTCGTATGTGTGTTTATGTGTGTTTGTATGTAAGCAAATATGAACATTTTACTTATGTATGTAAATATATATATATATAGTACGTTAAAGTTGAATGTGTCTGTTTCACTCGTGATTACAACTGCCGGTCGCATGCCATTGCAGTTTTCCCCAGTGAAATTACTTCGAATATTCGAATATATTCGAAAAAAAAATTATGTTCCATTACACAATATCAAAGCACTTACACACTTACCTATGTATGTATATATGTATAAGGGCAATGCAAGAGTACAATACTATTTTACAACAATAAAAATACACCAAATTTTATAAAAATCAAAAGCAATTTTTCAACTCCTCAGTGCAACGCTGAGGAAGTATCATTAAGCTGTTGCTGTTGTTGTTGCCTTATAGTTGCTTCACGCATTAACCATGCTATGATATCCTGATAATTCCTTGTCATCCAATCCACATTAATGCGCACCTGCTCGAGAATTTGCTGTATGGACAGACCATTATCCTTGACATCCGTTTTGACGAAGGATTCCAATTCGGCTAGGAAATATTTCGTATTCATACGCTTTGTGGCGAATTTCAATATCATATTCAAATTGGACATGGTGGAACCCAAGCTAAACATACAGATATACATAGAAGTAAAAGCAAAAAAAAAATTTTTTTGTTAAAAAAAAAATTGTAAAATTAAAAAAAATTAAAAAGAGATTTTACTAATTCTTAATTTCATTCCAATTGCTGCGCAGGAAATCGAAAGCGATCTGTTGGCCCACCACATTAGACGACACAGCTGCAAATACCCTAAACACATCCTGTTTCCGTATGTCGCCGCCACTAATGGCGCGTCGCAAGTAACGCGATAAAATCCACGGCTCCAGTGAGCAACCCAGTGCGCTCAGTAGCAGTTCCTTTTCCGTTGAGACCGTCGACATGCGATAGCGCTCGAACGCAAAGTCCCACTCATACTCATTGCCATACTGCAGTGCGGTGCAATAGACGATGCCACGCAAGTTTGGCGGTATTCTAAAGCGTAGAAAAACTTAAGATATTGTAAAATATTCATATGTATATATTGTAAATGTGAATTCAGCTCACGGATTATTGTTATCCGGATTCGGCACTTCGATCCAATTGTGAAAGTGTCTTGCGCTCTCCAAAACACAGTGGCGATGACCCAAATGGCATGCCATGTTCAAAATCTCCACACGTTTAAATAATTTCAGCATGTCTTCACCCTCGTCGGCGTCGTCGGTGAAGTTTTTCGGTGTTACGTCTTTGTAGACATTTATAAGTAGGTCTAAAAGATAGTTCTGGAGAAGAGAACGGTATTTTAAAAAGAAATGAAAATCACAGAAGTGGAGATTTCTAATTTAAATTATGTACGTCAAAACCACGGTGAAAGGATGAGATTGTGATGGTGAGTTTAACGGGTTTCGAGTGAAAAGAAAAAGCAAAACTGAATATACAGAGCCGTGTGGAGGAACTGGCCTTTCAGAATGAAATTGAGGATCATCCGTTGAGTTAAGAAGACATTTGCAGTAGAGCATATGCGGCTTACCCCTTAGCTAGGTCCTCTATAAAACGAGTTTTTGTATGGACCCTGAATGGAGCTTACTGGAACCGTAGCTTCCTAAACTCGACGTTTCAAAAGGAGTTGGAGTGAAGAGTCGGATGTTCAACCCCGAAATCTTGTGTATAAAGAATACCGGTTTTCTTAACCGGGGTTAGGACGGCCAAAAAGTGACAGCCCTTAGCCGTATAATAGCTAGGTCATATTTGGTGCGTAAAACTAGCTACCGTGAAGTCGGAAATATCTCCTACCCACCTACACTTCACTACGGCGTACCAAACGTATGTATCTCCATCATACTAAAATTCTCAGCATGGTGCTAACCACCTCTCGGTTCCTCTAAACCAAATTGGCTAACACTCCTTTCACTTCGGTTTGAACCAGTCGACGCATTCCCTCCTTTTAGGTGACATCGACTAGCCTTGTCTGTTTCCAAACCCCCTCCGGTTTAACAACAACAACCACTAGATTACTTGTGGCATATTATAGGAGAACTTCATCTCGTAATGTTTATAGAACTCTTCAAACGTGTCTGAATTACGAGGAAGGGACTCAAGAGTATCTAGTTCAGTAAGATCATGTCAACAACAAAAATTTTATAAAAATAATCTTTCCATATACGGTCGCCCCTCGACAGTGTACTTCAGACATGAAGTTATGAGACGAAGCTCTTCATAAAAGTTCCTCGGCCATTCGGTGGCGGCTTATAATAAACTGTAGGTTTCCCTATTTGCCGGTATAACAGCAAGACACTAATTAAGGTCATGTCTCGCTAATTCACAGGCTTCTTCCCTCGAAGGAAAGGCTATTAGTTTTTGTTTAAGAATAGCCACAGTTTCGTCCGCTGCGAGTAGCAGACAGCTATAGCTCTAATTCAGTAATAAATCGACAAGGGAGAATTAGAAGCTTTCGGAGAATAAAAAAAAATTCCGACACCCACATTACTAATAAACCTTAGTGTCTCCTAAGACATCTTACAATTTTATAAATTGATCGTTCCCCCATTCAGATAAATTTTGATAATAAATCCTCCTATCACTCACCTTTAGCAAATCATAATCTCCCTGGTTCACCAACATCGAGTCCAGGAAATTGAATGCCGTAATGGCCGCTTTCCATGGCACATGATCCAGTTCATGCCTGAGATATCGCGTCAAATTCAACGCCGTCTCGTAGCTCAGGTACGCGCCGCGTGCCAAGTTCATTGCATCGTCAATCAGTTGTGCACGATTGGCTGGACCTATACTGCGATATTTATCCGATCGCATGAGATGTGTCGTAATGGCTTTCCAATTGTCCGCGTCATAATTGACACGATAGTAACCAGTTTGTTGTATATTAAAGATGAACCATTCCGCTGTGGAAAGATTACGATCCTCAATCTCATACACTTCACTACGTGGCACCCATGTGATGGGACGTGTATTCTCGAAATTCAACTCCTTCGAGGTGGTGTATGTAATCGGTATCCACCAAAGTGGACCACCTTCATCGGCTGATTTGTCACCGTCCGATTGATTTGAGAATATAAAACGTTGTTGTTCCATACGAATGGCGTGTGTGCTTGGTGAGCGTGTTACAGTGAGCACAGGAAAACCCACTTGCAGGGTCCACGTATCCATGATCTCTTTAACGCTTGTGTTTTTACCCAGTAAACCAGCTTCAATCGCCTCTGTAGTTAGGAAACGCCATAAGTCGTCTTGTGTGGCCGCATGATAAGACCTAAGAGTGGTGAGTGAGTGAGTTAACTGCTTAATTGGAAGAATGATTATTTTTTTTTCAAATAACCTACATTTCTCTCAAGTATTTGCTGAGACCACGACGGAAAACTTTGGTTGTTAGGAAATGACTCATCATACGTATTATGGTCGAACCTTTACCATACGAGATGCGATCGAAAATCTCAGAAATTTCGTCTGGATTAAAGACCTCAACCGAAATCTTATGCGACGACGACAGCGCATCCAATTGGAAAACATTTTGCAATTCGGAAACCACAAATTGATCTTGCGGTTTCCATTCCGGATGAATGGCATCAACCGTTATGTACTCCATATAGCTGGCGAAGCCTTCATTCAGCCAAATATCCGACCACCAACTGGGCGTTACCAAATTGCCAAACCATTGATGAGCCAGCTCGTGTCCAACAACGCTGGCGATGCGTTGTTTGTAGGTTGTAGACGAAACACCCTCCTCATACAGCATTGTAGTCTCCCTGCAATCGTGAAAAAGTGCGAAAAAGTTATACGATTGTGAGATATTGCATGGGATATTGCTACTTGTATTCCCACACACCTATAAGTTATCAAACCCCAGTTCTCCATAGCGCCTGCTTGGAAATCCGGTATTGCAATCATATCGATCTTCGGCAAAGGGAATGGCAAATCGAAATACTCTTCAAGAAATTTTAATATTTGTGGTCCCACACTCAGCGCATAACTCGCCGATTGTATGGCGTCCTTGCGTGCCCACACCGCAAAGTTACCAGCGGCAATGTGATCAAAGTCCGAGATGGCGTAGGCGACCAGATACGTAGACATGGGTAGGGTTTCTGCAAATTGATCCCATTCATAATCCGTGAGGTACTCGCTATAAGGCGTAGGGAAAATTTTAAATACAAATTCAGTAGAAAAACTTCTCGTACTTCTATGATGAAGTAAGTACTTACTGTTTCCTGGTGTAAACGATGGGCATGTTGGAGACTGTCGTCATGTTGCGTGGACGTGCTATTTTTAAGGTAAAGTTCGCCTTTAATGATGGCTCATCGAAACAGGGAAAAGCGCGTCTAGCGTCGGTAGCTTGAAATTGCGTGGAGACCAACCAACTGTGGGAGATGAGAATTGAGAATTTTGTTGAGATTTTGCTTTGTTATATTTTTGTAAAATTGGAGGTGCTGGTGAATTTTAGGTTGGGTTACTGCTGTGGGTATCTCACTGGCAAACATTCCAATCATTTTCGATGACGTCTAAAATGTTATCTGAAAATAGAACCGCAGCACTGTCGAGAGCCAGAGCCACTCGCTAACTGAACTGCGAAGATCTTCTTATTTCAAAAACAATTTACCATGGGAAAGAGAACCCTATTAATGCCTGCATCCTGATATTTCTTCCACGTTTACTAAACCGAACATGACAGTATAAATTACTTGCGTGCAAAGCAGTACTCGTCAACTTTTGCATATAAAAAATTTTGCTGGTCTCGTGAATCATTTAAACTGTCCGCGCTGAATATTCTTTTGAGCGCAAACCGGCTTGTTTGCAGCAGCTGTTGAAATCCGTCGACCTCAGTTCCCTCTGCGAATTTTCTTTTACGACCTCAATGGAGTCGAAACGGGCTCCACGGAGTGGTAACTTCAGTTTTGAAAACAAAAAAAAGTCGCATGGGCCAAATTCGTGAAATACGGTGGTTCATCGATGGTATTGAACGAATTTTTGGTCTTAAAATCGTTCATAACTACAGCTCGGTGCGATGGCGCTTTATCGTCATCCGGAAATTGTCGGCCCACAATTCATACCATTTACGACGGTTGTCTTCCCCTCAAAAGCCTCAAAACGTTCAAATAATACTCTTTATTGACCGTCTGGCTCGTCGGAACGAATTTATCATGAACCAAACCGTGAATATCGGAAAAACCGATATCCGCAAACTCTTTGGTCTTCATTAATTATAATGTAAAGAGTTCTAAGGAGCACTGATCAAGCTTCTAAGGGTACGGCCCAGTGTCATTTGGAATATTTTTTGCTGGACTTTGTTTTTTGGAAACTGCAGCTGATAAAGCTCAACCCAAGCAAATCCAAAAATTACCTTAAGCAAATAGATTAAATATTTTGATGTCAAGTAGCCTTGATCTCGAAAATCCAAATTCCACGAAGAATCCCAGAGTTTTACATCTCCAGTCCAATCCCAAAATTTTCCTTATAGAAAAAATTCAGATTTATTTTCTTTCCAAAGACTTCTGTATTTTCTTTAAATAAATATTATGTCGCTTTTCGTGAGGCACAACATCGCAGACAGTTAACGGTTAAAGAACTCTAAAACTCTAAAACTATTTTCCTGAACTCTAAGGGAGTTGAACTTATGCATCCTTACTAATCTATCGAATCTATGCCATTTAGATGGCTCGCATTTACGCTAGTTTAAAAATACAACTACCCGACTATGGATCCACTTTTGTAGTAAAAGTAACCCGCTGAAGGATAAGGTAGCAATATTTTGAGTTCTCCTTTTTCGGGACAACAAAAGGTGTCATCTTATTTGCTTTCTAAACAATGAGATGATGATGATGATGATGTATTTACGCGCACGGTTGGTCGCATTAAGCACCTTGTAGGTCGAGTAAACCTAACTCCTCTATGGTGTATCCTAGCGGTGAAAACAAGTCTCGGTTGCTTCTTTCTATAGATCTTAAAGCCTTACATGAAAATCTCCAATTATATGCAGATTATTTAGAATGCTAAAAGGGAAGAGTAAAGCACGTACACCAATCTCCAAGAATGTCGAAATAAACCGTCTGCGGAATTTCTCGTCGGTAGTCAAAATCAGATTATAGAGAAATACAACGAGAGCCCGATTCCTGGTGATCTGAGATCATAGTCTCAGGTCGATAGTAGACCGACCAATTTTCAACTGAGTTGTGGTGCCTGAACTACTTTTTGAAACAAGCTTATGTATGTATATACTTGGTTCTTTATAACAGTTTGAGCGCTTTTCAACAGTGCTCTTACGTGGGAGAACCCGAGCCCAACTTATTTAAAACGCAGAGTCCGTTTGCTCTTGATGTCTCTTGATCAAAACTTGCTTTCAGAACATGGTCAAGAAATGAGAACTCCTTTTGAGATTTTCAAGGCTTAAAAATTTGTAAATTCGTCTGTACTTTCTGCTGATTAATCGTGAATTCTTATATCTCACTTTCGAACATCTAAAAGCATAAATTTACTTGTACATTGACACGAAGCTCATGAACCAATCATTAGCCGTTCTCAGTTTTGACAGGTGAATATGGTCAAACATATAAGTAAAAGTACATACCTACATATAAACAAAGAGCTTTGAACATAATTAGCAAAACTAAAAAGAAATTCCACCTACCGCTTTTCATTGCCCACTTGATACGAGCTGCGATAGAATCCCTGCAGATAGTCCTGTATTAGACCACTGAACCGGATGTTTATCTCGTACACGCCACCCTTTATTAGTTTGTCATACAGTTCGATGATGAAAAATTGCTTACGCTCAAGCATGTATTGTTTTCGTATCCTCAGCTCTGCACCGCCAATTTCCGGTACAAACTGTGCATACTGCGCCAAAGCTGGCTGCAATGCCGTCGTCGCTGTTGACATGCCTATATGACGCACGGAGACATCATTTTTGGTGATGTTCAACTCGGTGGCATGCATGGTAATGTTATAGCAGTCCTCCAGCACAATCACTTGAATGTGCACCTCCCCTTCGAATGTGAAATTGTTATACAGCAGATAGGGTACCAGCGAAATATTATATTTCTGTGGTTTCATCGTACGCGGCAGGCGTACGTCACGTTCGTAGTGTGGTCGCGTTTTAGCCTCGTCAGCGTCGGCGTTACTCGATTTCAGTACATGCTTCTTAACGGTCGTACAAATAACTTCCTCATCCGCCAGCGGTGTAAGTGGCTGTTCACACGTTGCCACATTGTAAATTATGAAACTGACCGCGAGTAGCGTGCATAGGAAACAGGCGGCAATGAGGAAGAGTGTGGTGCCCGAAAAGGTGTAGCCACGACGTGAGGTGAACGTTGTGGCTGGATTATTCGTGAGTGTTGTGCCGGTTGAACGATGATTATTATCCATATTGATATTTTCACGGACGTGTATGTCCTTAAGTACCATTCTCTTTGGGAGTTTGCGTTGATTTGCTTTGGTTTTGGGTTTCGCAAGAAAACAAACAAAAAAAAAAATATGTATATGTGTAGAAGTATTTAAAAATTCTGTTGTTTTTCGTATTATTATCCTTTGGTGCGCAGGCGAGCCATTGTTTGTAAAACCATTCGCATTAGACCAGCGGCCAGTCTGAAAAATAAAAAATAAACAAATTAATGTTATAAAATATTTTTTAGATTTTTTTCGGTGCTCTCGTACAATATATCAAATATATATATATATATATAACTGGCGCTTTGTAACCGCTGAAGCGATTTTCCGCCGAGCTCCTCCTCCAATTTGTGGTTTTTTCGTATCTTGATGCTTTTTCCAACAAATGAAGTGACCTACTGTTTATACTAACCCACCTCCGAACGGCTGATGGGTTTTTTTATGAGGAGCTTCATATCCTGTACACTCGGAGAGAGGGGCGACCGAATTTAGAAAATTTAATTTAATTTTTTATTTAAATTAATTTTCCATAACTTTTGAATGTTGGTCGCATTAGGATATGAACCCGAGCCTTCCGAATGTCAGTACGCAATACTAACCACTCGGCTACCGAGGCAGATATATGATATATATTCATTTGTATATAATTGGCGACAATTTTTGGTATGCGCCTTGATCTTTTTCCAACAAATACACGGATCTACAATTAATTCTTAGCCACCTCCGAATATAAATTTGATTTTCACATCAAAAATACACTCGGAGGGCTTGACATTCCCTGCCGAGGGGCGAACGTAATGCTTACCACTCGGCTATTGCAGCCGCCGCGAGGAGGCAGTGAATTATCCAACAGAATTTTCGAGTTCTTTGGACTTAGCGGCGGTTGCATCGTCCTAATTCCTCGTAATCCTATTACACCGTCCGGTACTACCTTTCAATTGAAGCGACTAAAGTTCCCTGTTTGACTAACGTTTGCAATCGCTATTAACAAAGGCTCAGGGTCAATGTTTGGAATTGTAAGGTCTATTGTTCTAGGGGAGTGTTGCATGCTCTAGGGTTGGCAAACCCTTTGATAAACTTGCATGAGGATGAGCAAATCAAATTATGATTAATAGATATCCAACGTTTCAGGGTACAGCTCGTGCAAATATAATATAGTACAGAGTTAACCATTTTGCGTTTTCGAATATAAACATAAATAAAATGCATTCAAAATAATTCTTTTTTATGAAACTCTTTTTTATGTTATAAAGTCTCTCATCATTCAAATGGCTGATTTGCGAATTTTTGAAACTTTGAACCGTTTGAGGTAATTCGACCACTTTCTGGCACATATAAGGCGATGTCTCAGCCATAACTTGACGACTGCTCGTTTTCAAGTGTTCAAGAATTAGAGTTTTATGCACACAAACACGATCTTTCGCCTAGTCCCACAGAAAAAAAGTGCAACGGTGTAATCGCCAAGATGACAAAATACTTGGGCGGGAAATTTCTCTCGCAATAAAGTCAGATTCGCTTTGTTTTGTGTGGCATCTGGCATTTCATCTGCATAAAACCATAATTATCCAAGTCTAGATCTTAAACTGCAGGCTAAAAGAAGTCGACCATAGTACTCCAAACTGGCAGTGACAGCCTCGACGTTCAAGTTTTTAAAGAAGTAAGGTCCAGTCACGACGCCACCGAACCAAAGAGCGTACCGGACAGTAAGTGTTTATTTGGGTTTGATGGTCTCTCTTCAACTATTTGAGAATTTTCGGGGAACAAAATGGGAAAGTTTCGCTTATTTACGCATATTCCGTTTGAGAAATGCGCCTCGCCGCTGAAGAAAATTTTTTTCGAAGCAGCGGCGACCACTGCCTGTTGTTCAAGCACCCAATCGACGTATGTACGGCGTTGTGCGTGATCAGCTGGCCTCAAAGGCTGTATGAGCTGGACTTAATATTGATGTAGGAGTAAGCCCGTGAGCGAAATATGCCATAAAAAACTACCAGCTCTTGAGAATGTCGAGATATAGCCACGTTCGGGTCTTCAGCCACAATTTCACTTACTCTAGCGATATTTGAGATGGCAGGAGTAAAATGATGATGCATAGAAAATATTTATGCTATTCAAATTTCTTTAAATTTTTAACAATTACTTCAGTAGTTAGGCGGTTTTGTGCACCATAATCTTCTCTTGAAGCACGAACTACAAAATTTCGTAGTTTTAGCAGTTTAAACGCGTTGAGCAAACGCTAAGCTATCCATTTTCATAAATGCCTGTCATTTATATATATATTGTAATTGGCGCTTTGTGACCGCTGAAACGATTTTCCGCCGAGCTCCTCCTCCAATTTGTGTTTTTTTTCGTTTTTTGATGTTTTTTCCAACAAATGGAGGGACCTATAGTTTATACTAAACCGCTTCCGAACGGTTGATGGGTTCTTTTATGAGAAGCTTTTATTTCATGTCAGAAATACACTCGGAGGAATTGACATTCCCTGCCGAGGGGCGACTGAATTTAGAAAATTTTAGCTCATTTTTTTTTTATCAAATTCTATAATTTTTTTTTTTTTCAATTTTCTATAACTTTTGGATGTTGGTCGCAACGGGATTTGAACCCGAGCCCTGTAAATGGCAGTACACAATGCCAATCACTCGGCTACCGCGGTGGCCTGACATTAAGTTAAAATAAAACATGTTTGATTTGACAGTTCAGTTTGAGAGATGTCAAAATACAGTCCTGTACTTTTGAAACCACGAAATGCATAGTCCTATATTACATACAAAACTGTTTATATACATATCATTTGAGTTTAAAATTGCGACACTTAAACCTCTTATTATTTCACACAATCTCCACATCTAATAATGAAAATTTTTATTTTCCGCGACAGGCAGCATTGAAAAAGTAACTAAAATATACATATGTACATAAATATATAGCATTAATTTTTCCTAAATAACAATGGATGTAGTTTTTTTTTGTGTTTTTGTTGTATTTTGCTTGAATATTCATCACGGTATTTTACTAAAAAAATAATTATTGCAAAATTAATGTTCGTAGTTATTAGTTAATTACATTGTATGTACATATGAGACACCTATGGATGACTATGTAATTAAAAGTATTTGAATTTTAACTCATAATAAATATTTAATTTTTTGCAAAAAAAAAATTATAATAACAAAAACGAGATTTTAACTAAAAAATTAACTACTTAAATGTAATAATTGCTTGTTATGAAAATTATGAAAATAGTTGATAAACAATATAGGCATTCCATTTCACGCAAAGATGGGAGTAATATTTCGAGGGGAACGAATTTGTTTCCAGACCTCTGGTCCATTTCCAGGAAACGAAATTTTCCATTTAGGCAAATCATCAAAAAATTTAACTAAACCTAACCACGTATGTGTTTATATGAGGTGAACTAGTTAAGTCATGAGACTGATTATATTGCCGCGATTGTGGCAACACTGCGATCTTGAAATTCCCCTGCCCTTCTCCCGGCATCCTTCTCCTCTCCACTGATATATTTGTCATCACTCTAGCTTGTTTAGTTCGCCGACTCTGTCGTGCTGAGTAAATGTGTGTTCGTCGTGCTCGTCACGAAAATGGAAAAACGAAATCAAGAGCAACGCGTCGCGATAAAAATTTTCACCAAATTTGGGCGGAACAGCTTCGGAAACGTACGCTAAAATTGTAAAAGTACATGCAGTCGTGCTCAGGTGTTTCGATGGCATAAACACTTTAAGGAGGCACGTGAAAGCCTTTTTTTGTTCTCTAGAACAACATCGCTGGTCAAACGGACCCATTTTGAGTCGATTGAGAACATCCCGGCCGTGAGGAGGGTACTCGTGGACAATACAGTCGAAGCGTTCCAAAAATGTTACGAAACATTGAAAACGCGCTCGAATCGTTATATAGCTGACCCAGGGGACTACTTTGATAGGGAAGGCGGGTAGAATAATTTTGAAATATGCGGCTTTTATGGCATCAGTCTCATTACTTAATTGTCACACTTCGCATTAAGTATAATATTGCATATACTTTACATATATATGTACATACACTTTTCGTATAAATATATTGTTTTTTTAATTTGAAAGCTAAAAATAAAAGAGTTTTCAGTGGTCCAAAATTCGATGCACAAAACTAAAGCACTCCCTTCATTGGTGTAAAACAAACGTCTCCGTGCTAATTTTTTGTACGAAACCCCTTACTTTGGATGACTAAAGCGCATCTTTAAGGCATTGGAGATATCAAATTATCGATAAAATTCTTAGATATGCCCTCCCAGGCTAATTCTACAGCTGTAAAAAATTCGTCCTTGGTTCTACAGCTATTAGTTTTCATATTTACGATCTCTCATAAGTTCTCAATAGGGTGTTGAGATCAGGAGACTGAGCAAGCTAATTGAAAACGTCTATGCCCTTACGTCTCAACCAAGTTTTACAAAACTTCGAGGTATGCTTAGGATCGTTGTTTTGCTGGAAACTCCATTTCAAAGACATAACCTCTTCAGCATATGGAGGCACACATTCTCTGAAATAACGGTATACATGAAACGATCCATTATTACTATAATTTGATGAATAGGTGCGATACCTTGCCTGGAGAAACAACCTCAAACCATTACATTACCACCATCGTATTTGGGGGTTACAATGCAATACTTGGAATTAAGTCTCTGGCCTTTAGGTCTTCTCGCACGTCTCATACCATCGGAATCTTTTATATTGCACTTAAACTTATTCGAAAATTAAACAGTCTTCCATTTTTGAACCGTCTAATGGAGGTGAGTTTTACTAAATTCTAACATGGCTTTTCTATTCTTTGGTGAAATGAATGTTTTCTTTGCTGCCTGCCTCCTAATTGCTCTTTCGCTAACTGATAACTCTAACTTTTTCTTAATTTGGCTAGAAGAAACTGCTGGGTCGTGTTTAATACTTCTTTTGATCAATACATAGCTCATCTCGTTGGAAAGTTTTCCGTGGTCTTCCACCAGTATATACGGTTGTTATTTTTTTTATTAG